TAATATAATATGATAACTTAACCGGCTTTTCAATATACGTACAACAGTTGAATTTATTTTTAAGCATGTTACCACAGAGGTAATTAGTATTTTATTTCACTTTTAAAAAGTAGATTTGTAGCAGAAAATTATTAATAAATAAAAAACTGGCTACCTCCTTCGTAAAATGGTTCAATCAATCAATCTAAATGGACACACAAAAACATTGATGCAAACGTTTTTTTTTTTTTTTTTTTGGTTTTTAATTTATAAAATATATTATTTATTTGATAATATATTTTATATTTAAAAATTATGCTGAAATTTTTTTAAAAAAATATGCTGAAAGTTTCTTATTTATTAAAATTTATGCCAGTGGTTTTGGCTGTAGATGATAATCTGTTCACGCTTAAATCTAAAGGTAAATATTTCTTCGCAACGAGTTAATAAATACACACAACTTAAAGTGTCATAACTTATGACAGTAAAGTTAGTAATAGATTTTAGACAAGTATTTTCAATGATGTATTAGGAATACTTATTCTTAACTTATAATTGTTATTCTTAATACATTATTGAGTATCTTAAGCTTGTTTTATTATACACTATGATAATGATTATTTTTACACATTGTGTACATTGCTATTATTCGCTGGAATTGATTGCCAATCGATTATTTATAATTATTATTACTAGCAGTAAGCAACCCGTAATACGGATTAGTAGTAAATAAATCATTACTAACAATTTGATATTTATTTACTTTCTCTAATAAAATATAAATTTATTTATACATTTTTTTAGTTGTGCTCACTTTAATTTTTCTTGGCTTCTTAGTTTAAGAGAACTCTTAGCTTCATTAAAGATAAAGTTAACCATTTCTTTTGCAATGTTCAGACATTGAATGCGCAAATCACAACCATGTAGTAGTTAAAAATGACTTGAATTATATGCACAGAATTGATGACTTGATTGATGTCAAATTTTCAAATTCCGTAAAATTGTTTAGGCAAATATTGGGAATATATTTTACTCTTAATTTTGCTTTAAGCTGAGTCGTTTCTTTTTTTTTTTTTAAACTTTTCATTTTACTGAGTAAAGAGCTTAAAAAAATATCGCACATAAACTTTTCAATATTTTTAATATAATTTTTAAATATTTTTAAAACATCTAAAATATTACACCCAAACTTGTAGGCATAGAAGTTGGATATCCGGAAAAACTATAAGTTGAAAAATATATCGCAATTCCGAAAAGGGCTTAGCCCTGCATACGGATCCTATATTATTATATGATAAAGATTATTACTAAACCAACCTTTTTTTTAATTAGTAGTCCAGCAGAAACTTGTTTATAAAAAACAATAAAGGAATATATCGATTTACTTTATAGCTAACGTATATCAACATATTTATTTCAGCATACATCCAATCCATATGTATACTAATTTTATAAAATGTCCGGAATACATTTTGCCTTAACTTGGCGTTAAATTATTAGTTTTATTTCATTAAATTTTGTATAGATCAGGTTAATAATAAAAGCAATTGGAATTTACTCAATATTTTTAAAGTAATTATTAAGCTTTAATAAAATTGATAAAACCATATAAGACAGTTAAAAAATATATTTAAACCTTTGTTCATTTTTTGAAAATCCGTAAAAAAGCAAGTATCAAGTTTACATATCTTTAAAAGAAATTTATTTACATGATATATAATTAAATATGTAACAAAAATATTTTGAAACAGAAGCATATATAAAACACATTTTTTCTTAAAAACATTAAGTTGAAGCCACCATTTACAGCACCGAGGAGCCAAGCATAGCCTATTGTAAAGAAAACCATATCAAATAATTTAAAATATTTATTACCGATAGGGACGACAATTAAACATATTTAAAAAGCTACGTGATTCCATATTAGTAGGATTGTTATAGAAAAGTATATTAAAAAAGTATATTTAAAAAGTATATTTAAAAAAAATCCTCCCAAGATGTTGCTTCTTTTGCCTGCAAAAGTAACAATCTAAGAAAAAATAATTCTCCTGTTAGACTAACATTATACATTCTTACTATCACCTTATTTCCACCTCTTTGTCTAACCTTCCATTTACAATGTTTATCATCAAATACAAAGTGATATGGAATGTCAACATATGAGTAGCGATGGGCTCCTTTATTTTCAGAATTCAATTTAAACCAGGCCGTAAGGTTGAGCAGCACGATCTAAAGCCACTTATTCTTCTCTTTCTCTAAAGTACACAATCTGATTCTCAGGAAGATGAACCTTAAGAAGGATAATAGTGTTGCCTAACAGAAAGTCTATAATTGTAGAACTGAGATAATGTAACATGATTTCTAACCAGTGTGGCACGCTCAGGGTTATGCACCAACTGATTATGCCAACCAGCACCACCTCTTGGGAAAAATAGCGGATAAACTATAGGATCCAAGTTGCCTGACATATTTGATACAATTTTTTAAGGATGAACTTTTTGGTAAATAACAACTTCCCTGGAAGTTGGGGGAGCATTATCTTCGCCAACAAATACAACTGCAACATCATCATGTGAAGGTAGATTATAACGACGTCTATCACCGCCTTCAAGTAAAGATATTTTTACAACAGAAGCTGAGCGACCTTCTATAGCCGCCTTACAAATTTCTTCATCTTCTACTTCAGCCATGTTTTTAAACGCAAGAGCAAATGGACTTTGTTCCATAATTATAGTTTGCAATTGAAACATTAAGTCACGTAAACAAAGATCATTACCACGTTGTTGCATTCTAAAATTTAGTGCAGCAAGTGGATCATAAATATATAGTTGAGAATATATTGGTGGAACATCTTGATCTGGCCTAAGATTACCAACACGATGAAAAATTTGGCCACATATTTTAAAACATGGAAGCCCATGATTCATTGGTTGAACTACATTTGCTGTAAAAGAAGCAAAAGAAAGGCAGGCATTATAATTTTAAATATGTTTTAAAAAATTAGCATTAGCATTAAGATCTACATAACTCCCTGTAAACAAATACTGTAAAGCTTGTGTAATTGGTGAAAGTGGAGGCAAAGCTACCTTACCATTATGGCAACATAGAAAATGTGTTTCATCTGGAAATTTCTTAGCACCACAGTGCTGTCAAATTTGATTCATTTCTCCTAAATAATTATAATCTGGAATAGCATTACTTCTCGCTAGAGAATTCATTTGTCCTTGTCCAACAGCTCTTCTTTCATTTTGGCGACGATTAACATTATCTCGATCTAGCCTATTTCTTTCATTTTGTAAACGATTAATTTCATCTCGCCTAATTCAATTTCTTTCATTTCGTCTACGATTATTTTTAACACGCCTTATAGCACTTACATCATCTTGAAAACACATAACTTCATCTAGCCTATCATCCATTTGTCATCATTTTTATTAAACATATTTATCAAAGCAACACTAATTATTTCTTTTGTTTTACTAATCTAAAGTTAACAATAAAATAAAAAAACTTAATAACTAAAAAAATCATAGTCAAAAAATTAAAAAAAAACAACTCTCAAACAAATATATATAAAGAAACCAAACAAATGCAAAATAAAATTAATTTGCCATCATCAAAAGTAATACAGGTTTCTTAAGTTTATTTAATAGAAGTTAAGAAAAATCTGCAACCACATTAGCAAAAACTTATTAAAAAAAGTTAAAGTTTATTTTATTTCTAATAAAAAAAAAAAAAAAAAACTGCGACAGCGTCATAGTTCATGCGTTGGGAGAAAACATTGAACAAAACACGTAATAAAACTTATTAATGCATTATGTACAATAGAAAACAGGTTATTAACGCGGGTTTATAAATTTTTTTCTTTTAACACACTATTATGCTGCCGCAACTCCAAGGATATATATAGTTATATATATAGTTTAATATATATATATATATATATATATATATATATATATATATATATATATATATATATATATATATATATATATATATAATAAATAGTTCTATATATATATATAGAACTATTTATTAGTGAAAACATATAAAAACCAAAATTTTTAATATAATATATATAGTATATATATTTGATAAATAAACCTCTACAATTTCTTTGGTTCAACAACTCGATTATAATTAACAACAATTCTGTAAATATGAATTTTCTAATAATTTAAATCTTAATAAATTATAAACAATTAATTACTTATTTAAACAAATAATTTCTTATTAAATTTTAAAAAGATTTTATATATACTTAATGTCTACTCAGACATTGAAATACTTAATGTCTATTTAGACATTGAAAAGATCTACAATTTTGAAAACCTGAAACCTTAAATCTACCTCAAAGAAAACAGATATATATTGAAAAGTATTATTTCTTTTTAAAAATTTAAAAATGCTTTTTAACTTACTCCCTCCAATATTATTATATAATTTATAGTATATATTGATAAATCTCTACAATTTCCTTGGTTTAACAACTTGATTATGATTAAATAACAACTCTATAAACATGAATTTTCTAATTATCTAAACAAATTATAAACAATTAAACTTAAATAAAAATGTATGCAAATGATAAATGCTACATTAAGTACAGAAAAACAAACATATAATAACACAATTATATCCTAAACCAAAATTCATTAATGCAAGACAAATTATTATATATTTTTTGAAAAGCCAGAAACATATTTTTTTTCAAAGAGCCCAAGTATTAACAATACTATAGATAAATTTTATTTATAAAAAAATATTGTCATGGCTTTTATTCCAATTATTAAAAGCATGTGAAAGCATGAAACTACACATAAATATCTTTTAACGGTAGACACCATAGTAATATCTATATTTTCAATATTAACATCTATAACACGAAGCTTTAAATGAAAAAGTACAATTTAAAAGAGATTAAAATAAATTAATTACTTATAAAATTTTAAAAAGATTTTATATTACCTTTCTACTTAGATTAAACATTATCTACTTAGACATTTTGAACTCGTACCATGAAAGGTTGCGACTTCTTTAAGAGAGCACGCGGTTAAGAAAAGTCAAGAAGCTACTTAAAAAGTGTATTTTACAAAATTCAGAACCGTACCGTAACTATAAAACAATAGGCGTAACTATGCGCACTACTCATTAGAGTATTAATGTTTAGATTTTTAAACAAAACTTTATTAGGCTTTTCTATTGTCAGTTTCTGTGTTCGGGTTGACAGTTTTTTTGTTCCGGACCTGGCCTCGCCAGCTTTTTTTAAAAAATAAAACTTATTACACAATTAATAAAAACAATCAAAAAAGTTTTGAACCATTATGGCGATGGTTCAAAAAACAAACAAATACAAAAATAATACACATTGATTGTTATGTCATATCAATATATCTGTTGGTATAATTTTGATATCATCTATGTCCTGCTTTTTTGTTGTTTTTCTGGCTACTCAAATTGTTCTGAAAGTTGTATAAGTAATTTTTTCGTATTCCAATCAAAATTTCTAATCACGACGAGGATTTCAACTTTCAACAAAAAGAAGTTTTTTGTTGCACTAAAATATTTACTTTTATTGCGCTAAAAGTTAATGGTTTATTGCAATAAAATCTGAATAGTTGAATTTTGATTTAAATCATTCTAGAATTTGTTCTGATAATTTTGTTACAGGTTTAGTTTTTATTTTTCAAATTGGTTTTTATTTTTATTTAAGATTATCTAAAACTAATAAGTAATCCTAATAATTAATCTTAATAACTAATCTAATAATTAAACTAAGTTTAACTTCACAATATTAGATAATACTATCTAATATTGTGAAGTTAAACTTAGTTTATAATAGAATTCTCATAGTTTTACCCAATTTATGCATAAAATATACAAAAATAATTTTTTGCTGTAGTGTCCTCAAAGAACAATCTATTGCCAGATGACTTTGATTTGATGTTTTCTGACATGGTTTTAGAAGATGAAATGATAGTTGCACTTCTTAATCCATGTGAAATTGTTGTCAAGGTTAATGGTAAAAATTTCATATAAATTAGTCTAAACTCAAGAATTAAAGTTTTTCTAATTATTTTAAAATTTTATTCTAAATAATTATATGTTTCCTTATGCTTATCTAATATAAAATATATGATGATTCTAATGCATGTTTTTCAGAAACAGACCCATCATTCCAAAGAATAATAATATACGAACCGTCATTTCTTCAAATGTTGAACTCTGTTCCAATTTATAGTCGTGAAAGTTCAGAGGATTCTCCTGGTACAAGTAAGAGCTCACCACAGTTGTTTATTTTGCAGCCACAAAGTAAGAATATCCAAGCTACTGTGCAGTTTCCATTTTCTCTAGAGATTGGAGTTAAGGTTTGTTGATCATCAAGAGGAGTATCAAGGGACATTTGCAAAAAAAATGAAAAACCAGTTTTACCTTTTTCTAAGATCAAAATAGACTCTCAAACAACATTAGCAATTAAACTATGCAGTCAGTTGAGAGTGCCTTCAACAACTATCAATACAATATTTAGAATTTCAGCAAATATGCTACTTGATATTTGAAAGTTTACATTTTCCTACTTTTGACATTTTGACAAACATTTTCCTACTTTTGACAAGTATTTTGCCAGAGTGGATATTCTTAGTGACAAATATCAAAGAGAAAAATTGTTAAATGGTTTATTTAAGATTTTAAAAATAAATGAAGTTGTTTTTGAAGGTGGAAAAGGTTACTATTTTTCACTATTTGACATTATTAATTTCTTGTTGCAGGTTGATGAGTTTGTGCAGCTTTTATGTAGGGAAGACCACACGCCACTTAAATTTTCTCATAGCATGTATTGTGATGACATAAAACTAGCAAACCCTCTCGGTAAACACAGAAAACTTCTTAAACTAATTATTTTCTATGTTAAATTTCATTCATTGCCATCCTATATGCACTCAACGTTAACATCAGTTTTTCAACTTGCTGTTGTGCCTGTAAAGTTATTTAAGTTTAATAAAAAAGGGGCTTATTTTCAGTACTTAAAAGATTTTATTACTTCCTGTAATCTCTTAAATAATGGTGTTACTTTTAATTCAACGATTGGTTATGTAAAACTATTTTTAAAATTTGTTGTATATTCAGGAGATACATTAGCTTCAAATCACATTTGTGGGTTTAAAATTAGCTTTGCACCAAGTGTATTTAGATGTTGTCGTTCTTGTCTCACCACAAATAAAGAAATGTCATTAGTTTATAGAGAAGACATGTGTCGTTTACGTACTCATGCAAACCACCATCAACATATTATAGATCTCAAAAGTGTGACAAGTAAAAAAGAAAAACTTTATTGGTCAAGGTTTTATGGTATAAATTATGAGAGTGCACTTTTATCAACTGAAACTTTTGATATTATTAAAAACCTCACGATGTTTTGCTGAAAGGGCTAGTGCCACATGAACTTCAGCCTTCTGCTGCAATTACATGTTGCAGCCTTCTGCTGCAATTACATGTTGCTGAAAAATACATTTACTCACTAGTTGCTTACAATAGTTTTATTGTTCAGTTTCCTTATTCATACTCTGAAGCCAGAGACAAGCCTAATATTTTCCCAAATACACTTGATATTTTAGGGTCACAAACATCTGGCCAAATTTTGGTTCTAGCTCTTATTATTCCACTTTTTATTGAACAATAGAGTGATTGCAATGATCTTCATTACATTAACTTTCTTGATCTTTTGGAAATTCTTCAACTTACATTGTCACCAATAACTACACATAGAACTATTTTGGATTTACAATCTCTTATCGAAGACACAACAAATCTTTTGCTTTGTTGTGGCCAAATAATCTAATACCAAAGCATCATTTTTTACTGCATTTCGTTGGACAAATGCATCAGTTTTGTCCTTTAAAAAATCAATTCTGCATGACCTTTGAAGCCGAGCACAATAAAATAAAGAGTGAACTGCTTTAAAAACGTTGCTAAATCAGTTTGCGAGCATCTTTGTTAGAATACAATTTCAAACTTCCTTGATGATAATGGAAAACTTAAGCTTACCCTTATATGACAAAAACACATCAATTTAAAAAAAGAATTGTGGTTGGATCACTTGTCTACCATGTTGATGATATTATTTGAACAGTTAATGATTCTTATCAACTGTATAAGATCACTGATCTTCAACCTAATGGTGAAAAAGTATGTGTCATGAAAATTGAGAGCTATATACCTCACAAGCTTGCTTTTTCTGTCAAAAGTAGTAATATGTTTCAATCAATTACTTTAGAAACTCTCCGAATTTCGTGGCCATCGACAAAATATACATGGCACCATATTAGTTGTACCTAGATCTAAATATTGTCTCATACTTTCTTAGTGACAATAATTGTTTCTTATAAAAAAAATATTTTTAGGCACAAGATTAGGAACAGATACAGAGTCAACATTTCTAGATATTATATATAGATGCATTTCAGAGATATATGTGTTTTAAGAAAGATAGGTTGAAAGTTGATTCTGTTAGTTTTATTAGTTTTATTTTTATTTCTTTATATTTTTCAAAAGTATAAAAAGTATAACAATAACTAAATAACTATGAGAAGGTTTCAAAGAATGTGGAACTTTCTAATTTATTTTTGAAAGGCCTTCATTAAAAATTGTTTAGATTGCCAATAATTATGATATCAAGTAGATTTTTGTTTTATTTTGTGGCTTATACCTAACTCTGTGCAACTATGTCAATACCTTCATTTTATAGAGTTTGTACCTTTATCTACCTTGTGCCTTATTTTGCAGAAGAATATATTTTATATATCAAATATTATTTTCTAAAAAAATAGTCGGTAGCCCAGTTATTTTTTTATTTACATGCTTGCTAAAGTTTTATTTAAATCAATAGAATATATAATATATGTATGATTTTTTCTAAAAAATTAGTTACCTATTTTTTCGATGGATTGTACCAATTATTTAAATGGTTTGGTGCCTTGTCGTAAGCATATCTTAAAAGATATTGGTAGTGAATTGGCACATCATCTCCAAGGGTGTCTCCCTGATGAAACCCCTTCCATTAGAAAGAAGTTTTATTGCCATGTTACTGTACTTTTGAAACAGTCGTATCCAAACTGTACTTTTGGAGAAGTAAGTTTGAATTATTATTTAATGTTTTATTTTAAAATGTTATTATTTAAAAAAAAAATTAATAAGACCAATGGCACACAAAGATCACCTGTTCCATTCCGAGATCGTAAGAAAACAATACCTATACTATTGGTAAATTTACTATATTGTTATATATTGTCGATTGTTATATAGGCTTCAAATTTTTTTAGATCATGGACGAGTTCGAAAGAATGAACATTATAACAAAAGAAAGTGAATTTGATAAGCTAATGCAAGTCGTTGAGAAATTGTATCCTGGTATGCCTATTGCATCTGCCCTAATTAAATTTCACAGCAACACTACCAGAAGAGGGGTGCTATGCCCAGTTGTTATTGCTGGTGTAAGTTTAACAAAATATTGTTTAATTTTTTTCTTTGATCATTATAATATTTTTTAAAATATTAATTAAGATATATAAAAAATTTGAGAACATTATTATTATTATTATTACTATTATTATTATTTAATATTTAGGATGAAGATATTAGTTTTTCTCCTGGGCCTCAACTCATCTTAGGCGAAAATGTAAGACTTGTCGACAAAGGAAATATTATTGCAATCGGACAACGCCATAACGATGCACTACACGTCCTTCAACTTCTGGCATATTATTATATAATGGACCTATCGTACTCAAGGTCGTTTGGAGGAGTTTTAGGGCTACTGTAGAATTATGTCTTGCAACTTCCATTTAGTTGTACGAATAAGCTTTTGCTCAAAAAATGTAAAATCTTGTGAAAAATGTTGCCGTGTAAGATTGACATTTTATATTGACTTCTGAACTATGAACAACTTATTTACTTAAATATAAGCAAATATATTTGTCAATTGTTTTAATAAAAACCATCAAGCGATGGTTTTTATTAAAACAAATAAAATATAATTTTTATTGTTTCTTAGGTTTTCTTATTTATTATGTTTAATTATAGCGTGACTTGTAAAATTTTTATAATTTTTTACAAAAATTATACTCTCGGTTTGTTTATTGACTTGTCAAAAGCTTTTGACACTGTTGATCATGAAATTCTTCTTCACAAACTAAAAACATACGGAGTAAAAAACGACAACCTAAAGTGGCTACGATCTCATCTAAAATATAGAAGACAAGGAATATTTTACGACTCAACTTGTATTGTGCTGGAACCAATAAATTGTGGAGTTTCCCAAGGCTCAATTCTTGGACCCGTATTGTTTTTACTCTATGTGAATGATATGTACCTACCCTCAGATATGCTTATTTTTATTCTTTTCACCGATGATACTTTTTTATTTGCACCCTAATATAAAAACAATTTTCTCCAAATTAAATCGTGAACTAGAAAATCTTAGTGATTGGTTCAAAGCAAACAAACTCTCGTTGAATATCAGTAAAAATGTATTTTATTTCATACTAAATATATTTTAACTAAATATATTTTATTTCATCAACCAACTTAATCCGATATTTGCCTTTTCAACTTCCTCAGCTAACGATAAATAACTTTATAGTAAAAAGAGTCGTATCAATGAAAGTCTTAGGAGTAATATTTGATGAACATTTTAATTGGAAAAATCATATTATGCTCATTGAAAACAAAATTTCTAAAACGATAGGCATTATGCATAAAACATCTACTAAGTAAAAAATGTTTAAAAGATATATATTACTCATTCATCCACAGTTGCATTAACTATTGTAATATTGCTTGGGCAAGTACTCGGGCTTTAGCATTAAATATATATATATATATATATATATATATATATATATATATATATATATATATATATATATATATATATATATATATATATATATATATATATATATATATATATATATATATATATATATATATATATATATATATATATATATATATATATATATATATATAGAATTATATGTAATGTGCCTAAATACACTCACGCTAAGCCGTTATTCCAAGAAATAAAAGCACTTAATGTCTATGAATTAAACCTCTTCCAAAATGTATTATTTATGTTTAAATATGAAAATGACATGCTACCAGAATTTTTTAATAATCACTTTTCAAAAATTAATCATAAATACTTAACGAGATGCTCTGTTTACAACTTTATTTTACCTAAGTCTAATCTTAAAAATCAGATTATTCAATTTCATATCGAGGACCTTTTTATATGGAATAACAGAAAAATAAAAACTATATAAAAAAAAAAAATTCTTATATTATTTTTGGAATTTTCTTTTATTAATTCTTATTATACTATAAAATCTTGTTTTAGACGTTCTTAAAATTTGTTAGTCATAGTTCTTTTATTTTTTATTTTTTAAATCTATTTATTCTATTGTAGTTATTTTATATTGTTTTATAATATGAGAAAGTATATATTTATATAAAGTGAACTTCTTAAAGGAAAAAAAAAACACTTCGCGTTTACTATAGGGGCTTGATGATAAGACTACTGTAATCTACTTGCTCCTGTCATTTTTTTTTATATATAAATTTATATATATATATATATTTTTGAAGCTTGTAAATAAGAACGTTGTAAATTGTTTATATATAACAAATAAATAAATAAATAGATAAAATGAAACTAGGTAGATTTTTAAATTCTGCGTAATCTATAAGATCACTGACTAAATGTATATTTTAAAAAATTGTTCTACCTGGAATTGAGCAAGTTTGATTTAATTATATAATTTTTCCCATTACTTTTGCAAGTCTTAAAGCCAGCACTTTTGTGACTATTTCTTAATCAGCGCCGATTAAGGATATGGGCCTCCAATTTTTGCATTCGGTAAGGTCTCCTTGTTTTGGAATCAGTGAGATTATTGATTTTTTCATAGAGTGGCTATAATTTTTTTTTTTTTACAAATAGTATTTCGTAACCAAGTTCTTCAAAATTTTTTTCTAAAATGTTCCAAAAGGTTATGTAAAGTTCAGCTGGAAGTCCGTCATAGCCCGGAGACTTTCCGTTTTCAAATTTAAAAAGTGTTGGTTATAATAACTGTACAAAAGGGTTAAAAAGGGTTGGTAATTGGGTTAAAAAGGGTTGATAACTATATAAAAGGGTTCAAAAAAGGTTGGTAATAAAAAGGGTTTATAATAATAACTTTACAAAAAACAAATTGCCAAAAAAACTTTCAATTGGTCGTAAGTTAGTCAGTGATAAGAAAACCATTGCTGAATATCTAAATAGCTTTTTTTTTTAATAGCTTTTTTTTTCTAATTGTGGAACACAAATTAGGAGCAAAAATTTGTCGGGTTCTTCAACATTTTACTCTTACTTAATTAAAATCCTTACATCAGGAAAAGGTTATGAAAGAAACAAATCTAGATTTTAATGAACTGCGATACGCTTTTAATAAACAACAAAAGTGCGGAATTTGATAATATCAGCAGCTTTGTCGTAATATCAGTATTTTATATCATTGTATAATCATTGCATCGCATCTTGGGCATTTCACTGAAATCAGATATTGTCCCAGATTTATTCTTAAATTAAAATTTTTTTTTACCTCTATTAACAAATAGAGGTAAAAAAAAAATTAAATAAATAATTTTTATTATTTAATTTCGTTCTATTAAACTCAATAAAATAACAAAAAATTCTTTTTTTGTTTCTTGTATTTTCTTTTCTTTAGATGTCAAGCAAACGCTATTAATAAGAAACACTTTCTTGTAATGTAGTGTCAAATCTTATAAGATGATTTTTTTCAATAACCTGGTGATTGCAGTTCTAATATAATGACTAGTTCACGAGTCAATTGTTCAGCGGTACTGCGATTGGGAATATCATTAAAAATGGCACCAATTTATCGCCCTATTTTCTATATTAGCAATGGAATGTTATTTGCTAAGAAATTTGATAACAATGTTTTATAAATTATCATTTTCATATGTACTTTAATTTTATGAAATCCCATCTTTTATGAAATCCCATCAAATTTTATGTAATCCCATCCTCTTTCATTAGAAACAAATAATTTTTCAAGCAATAATTCATTGTTGTTAGCCTTAATATCAGCATTATATTTGAGTATTATTTTTCTTAGCATTTGCTTTTCAATTATCTCTAATAATTTTTTTTTTTTGAAGCTTGCAAGTTACAAATACGCTGACTAAATTATTTTAATTTTTTTTTTTTAGGTCTTTTCTCTTTGTCCTTAAAGCGTTAATAATTTCTTCTTTTTGTATAACAATTTTAAAACTAATGCTGCCTGGATGCTAACTAAAAAAACGAATAAGATAAAAGAAATTTTATTTTATTTTTTCTCTAGAAAAATGCTTATTTAATTCCTTTGGGCCATAAACTACTGATATCGAAGGTTCAATAGTTAATGAAGTTAAAGCACTCATATGGTCAGAAGATGAGACTACGGAAGAATATGCAAAAGCGAAATCTACAAAAGCAAAAACTACCTTGAACAGTTTGTAATTAATGTGCATTTAAAGACAAGTAATTTAAAAATATAAAATTTTTTTTTCCTTCCATTTAACATGGTATAATTATGATTTTTACAATGCACGTTTAAATACATATGCAACAGAAGAGAATACATAAATAAATACTGAAAATTGCATAATACTTAAAACACAGTTTAATCAGAGAGGGGCTCAAAAAAGATACAGAATACATTACATTATCACAATCTTTTCATAGAGCCCTCTTTATAAAGACTTAAGTACTATATCGTAATGGTATAAATTTACCATTAAAAATTAAATACAAAATTAAAAACAATTAAATACAAAATAAACAAATAGAAAACCAAAAATATAGTTAAACGAAGAAAACTTAACCATTAAAATAATGTCGTATTCAACATTTTTGAAAAAAATGACTTATATATGCATATTATCTGTTTTTTGTAGACTTATTTAAAAAAAAGTTATCTGATAGCTCAATTAATTATTTTTCCAATATCGTTTAGTAGATTATTTGTCGTAAATAAACTTTTTATAGTACTCAGGTTGTTTAAGGCCAGTCTCGGGTTTACTTCGATTATCTGCGGGTGACGTAATAATTTGTCGTTCAGTTCTCGCGGGATAATTTTAAAACGTTGTTTTACAATATAGCGGTGACTTCTAAACTTAAAAAGCCCGACAAGAAAGTTTTTCAGCAGTTATTAATTTTTTAAACATATATCATGAGTACTTAACATGCTATGAATTATCATATAATACAATGAATTTATAACAAACCATATTATTTATTGTTCAAATCTTAAATATTACAAATTATTAATCTACCCGACAAATTAATTCTGTTGTTACGACCCATCAAAAAGCCATTAAGCACAAATCGTTAAGTATTACCGAATTCCCGACATTTAAGAGTTTTTCGTTGTAAGAAATGACAAAACGTCGAATTTTCTGCCTGACCTTCTAGATAAAATTATGGATAAATGGTAGAATACAATATCAATGTCGTTTAGGTTGCATATATCTATAAAAGTTGTTACTAAAAATTTAATTGCTTATTTTATCATATATTCATCTTTTAGTTAAAGGACAATTTAAGTCAACCTCCGTATTATCGTCAACAATAATTTTTTTAACTTTGCACAACTTTTGCTAAGTTAAAAAAATTTTTTGCTGGCCTTAAACAACCTGAGTAGACGCTGGATAAGCATTTGTTGTACTTAGCGTAGACCGATATTCTCTCTATCTGCTCTTTTATTTTCTACTCGCATTTTTCTACTCGCAACTATCTACTCGCATTCTATATACTCACGTGACTAGATTTAATTATATAAAAATAACGTATATATTACATGTTTACTTTTTAACATGTTTTTTTAAATAAAAAGTAATACATTCCATTTATTTTTTAA